GCAAATTTCAAATTCATTCCTTAAGCGGGCTTGGTTATCACGTATGGGCATGTGAAATTTTCGGCAGGAAATTTGCTATTCAGCAACCAGAAAAGCTAGAAAGTTGAAATTTTAAGGAGATTATTTACTGTCCATGGCGAACTGCAAGATTTCAAATTTTCAGTCCCTAAGTGTGCTTGGTTCTCATATGTGGGCATATGAACGCATCCAAAAAATTGAGGTAATTGCTTATGATTTTAACTCAGTTTATGAGAAAATAGATAAAACAAACGAACGCTATTCTTAGTGCAAGCACCGATGCAGGCATTCAGGCTGTAACCTTTAAGTTCCAGCCGGTCATCGCTATCAAGCTCAAAACCGTCGGTTCGAAGATATCGCAATACTTTTCCAACTTCACAGTTTTCCTGCTTTTCCGCCTCCTCCAGCAGATCGCTCGTTGTAGGGATTGCTGTAGTGCTCAGTTTCGATTCTGTAATTTGTATAAGTACTGCTGCATTTTCACTGAAAATGGGGAAAGAGATATCGCTGGGATAAAGCCGAATTGCTTTTGGGGTTTTCTCATTTCTGGAAGTGAAAGTCTAGACCCAGTTTTGCCCCGAAGCAATCTTAAAATTGTGGCTTGCGCCCTTCATCGGTAAAAGTTGGCAAGTTGGTTTTCACCAAACACCGGTTAATCTTCATCGAACATCATTCAGTTATTTAGTCGTTATCCGTTCTACCAGCTATCACTGGTCACTAGACGAAATGAAAAGCTACGGGAATTCATGTTCAGTCATATTTATGTTTGCATAAAGTGTTCAATTATGCTTGCCTAACACAGCGGTTCCTTTGATTTATCGAATTAATACTTAGGCATTACAATTTTACGTGCCTTTCCACTAATGTTCACTGCCTGTACAACACCGACCTTTGCTCTAAGTATTTCATGTAAATTTAGCATTTGTTGTGGACAGCTTAGCTAAAGCTGGCCATTGTCCACAGTCAGTGTCAGGATCTTTTTATGAGCATCCCAGTTCAAATTTTGGCTTGTATAACAAAGGCCACCTTACGAAAATGCAGAGTAGGTAGAAAAAGAGAGCATTATGCATCATTTCAACTATATTTTCACGCTTTTTTTTAAAAAAAAACAGACCCGGAAGAGTTGCTTCCTCAAATTTTTTTATGTATTTGGTGGTGCAGTCCTTGGCAAATGTGGGTTCCAAATATAGGTGCTGTTGATATTTGAATAGTCTGTGAAATAAAAAAATTTGACATTCAAGTGGATTAGTAAGCAGGAGCTAAAACAAGTTTAAAAATAGTTACTAGTTAATCTAAAATTAATCTAAAAAGGTGAACTTTATGAGACAAGCTTAACTGCAAAAAACATTCCCAAATTTACTCAGAAGCAACAGTTCTGAGGCTAAATCTTTTCGCCTATCTCACAGCTTACTCTTGAAAAAAAAAGGAATAGTTTATGCACAGCTCGGTCGATTCGATTTCTTAGCCCAAACAGCGTTCACCCGGTCAGCATCCGATGATTGCTTAACTTATGAGGAAGCATGCGCGGCTCATAAACAAATCAGGATTCTACGGGGAACACACTAAGTCTTTCATACGAAAGATACTGTGTTTCGAAAATCAGGTAAGAATAACGAGTCGGATTGCTGGAATCAACATCCACGCATCCGCGGGACTGAGTACGACTGAGCCGGTAGGGGCTAATGGAAAGATGCGTAATCCTCAGTGCTAGTTTAAACTTTATGATGCAGATGAGAAGAAATTAGAACTTTTAAAATGCACTTTATTTTTTGCACTTACATGACTCCGTTAGCCAACTCTGCTACGGTACAGGAGCAAAAAAGCTTACTTTGCTGGTAGTTGATCGCCTTGATGCGCAAATAAATCACAAATCTATAAGCAGTCATAAAATTTGAAACATCAAGCACCAGTTAAAAAATTTCCAATCAAAAACCAAAGGGTGATTCAAAAAATATGCAACAAAGTATATTTACAAGTCCATTGCAGTGTCGGAAGTAATTTTTCTAGGAAAATCACAAAAAACGTCCAGAGTGTTGCCTCGAAAAATTTTTCATTTGGAAACATTTCAACAAATAGGTGTCAACAAGTATTTCAGCTGTGTAGTGGAGAAACTGGATCATCTGTATTGCTCTTCTTGAATACTTTGGTACTTTGATCAGCCACTGCTTCACCATTACGTTTCTTCTCGCCATTTTCGCAGTTAGCAATTTCTCCATTCTCTTCTATTTTTGGCCGCTCTTATCCACATAAATTCCACAAGGTCGTTCGAGTGGATCTTTCCATCACGTTACGATATTTCCTGCATCATTCAATAATTCTTTTCGTCCATCTGTTGTCTCGCATTCTTGCCCACATGATTAGTCCAACTCTTTTGAGGAGTTTTGCTGTCTTCGTGAACACTGATAGTAAAAAGCAAAAAAGAGCTTTGTTCAAGGGTTTCTAGAGTACCACGAGCCGCGGAAAAAAAAGAATTAGCAACAGAAGGCAAAAAAAAAAAAATGCCTGATTGGTAATGTCGTAGACAATTGACCGGCAGCTATAAATGCCTGTTTGAGACTGCATGCATCGCTGCTTGCACTGTTGCAGCACCATCTTAGAGCGACGTTCATATGGTTGCGCATTCACAATAATGTAATCTTCGTAATTCCGAAAACATGGATCGCCTGGAAAGGGATCTGCTGCAGAAATAGCCCTCATACAGATAAACAGTGGCACAAACAGCGAGTGATGTGATATTGGGGGCACAAGGTGGTGACTACATATCACTGGACTTATCATTCTATTAAACTGCAAAGGTAAACCGATGAGATGGAAACCGATGGCTTAATTTTATCAACAAGAAAATTGATTCCTCCACAAATTACTCATTGGCTTTGGTGTCAGATTGGTAATAATTCATGCTAAGGAATCAGATATATCAGATTCTAAGCAACATCCTAAGGATATTCGGATGGGCAGAGCTGCCACTGAATGCTCCATTTTCTTTACGGAGGATGGAAAATGAAGACTTCTCGACTTTTGAAAGATTGAGATAGATTCGAAGTATATGGTCATCGCTTCTGGTTAGACCGAAATGTATCGAAAATCTTTTATTCGCCACCTGGAACTTTTTGTTGCACTATCAGTTCAGCAAAAAGTTTATTCAGCGGTTGCCAACTGGACATCCTCCAAACAGCTACGTTTCTTCCGTCAGTATTATTTTTTTTGTTTTTCAAAGTATTAGTTCAAATGAGGTGTGACAAAGAGGGTTTACGTCAAAGAGAACCATTGCAAGAAACAGAGGAAGAATCGGAAACTCTGGACTTATTATATTTTAAATTATAACTTACTTAGATTCGGTAAACCAAGGATAAAGTCACGCTGTTGCTTAGAAATGCTGTCTTCCAGTTCGTTTTTTGGAAATTCGGGTAATTTGTTACTCTTCGAAGCAAATCCAATGGGGTGTACTTGATCACCCTGCAGTCCATTAAAATTTTCAGTATCCAAGATTATACTTAACTTTGTGATCTGTTCGAAGGGAAAAAATGAATAATTACTGCACATGGCTAGATTAAAGCTTTAATTAAGCATCAGGAGCGATTATCGATGAGTTTTTGATGCATCTTACCAAGGAAATAGTCATTTACTGAAGCCAGTTATTTGGTCCTTTTTGCGGGAATTACCCGAACTGGTGTTTGCCCTCCCAAAACGTCTTTCACTTTTCTAAGGCTCCTTCCTTCTCCCAATAATAAAGTAACATCAGATCGATATAAATTTAGAAATACTGTAAGAAAGTAAAACTCACAGCTTCAGCAGCTGTCAGCGAAATTACTCCACGAGGAGAATCCTCTGAAAAACTGCTACCGAAGTTCACGGTTTGCCTATCGCTAGCGCTGCAAAAGCAAATATCTACACTCACAAAAAACTGTTTAACTTCAGAAAAACAGCATTTGCAATACTGCTGTTGTTGTCAAATGGTCTGCAATCAGGTTTGTCCAAGAAATGTAAATTCCCAGCTTTTTCACCATGAATTTTGATTATTCAGCACTTATATCACCTATTGAAATCAATTTTTAAACTGAAATTTGGAAGAACGAAAAGGAATTATTATGTAATAATTAGGAAAGAGAATTAAAAAAAATTTTTTTAGTTGAAGGAATTTTTTAAAAAACTGGAAGGAAATATTTCGTTAATCAAACACCCATCGCACTTAGCAAGGTTCCAGAGTTTTGAATCTGTAGGTTTCGCAGCTCTGGTGTTGAACGCTCTCAGCAATGCTTGCAAAAACCGCATAAAAATTAGCACCTGTTCGGATTCAGAAGCGATTCCAGCTCATCTGCCCGATATTTCTTCAATAATGATGTTACGATAATCAAACACATCCATTTTTGCATCTAAATGCAAAAAACTTAGAAGC